TTAAAGGCATGCAGCACTGTGCTCAGCTTGCTTGGTATGTTATCATGAGATTAACATGCATCCATCACCAAGCTGGCTGTATTTGTATCTTGAACCATGTTTTTCTCCTTGTGACTTTGACCCAGTCTGTACTCTGTTGATAACGAAACTGCCCCCATCCCCAACACTATGGAGTAAGAATGGAGCAGAGATCACTCACCTATTATGTTCAGAGTGATGCGGTCACTCCTCTTGTTAACGAATCCCTTGGTTACCTCACACTGATAGTCCCCTGAATCCTCACTCCTGGCAGGGTCTATTTGGAGGGTGCTGTTGTTCGCGGACAGCATCATCTTATTTGTGATTCTCAGACGCTGAGAGTTGAAGAGCCAATGGATGGAGATCCCCACATCATTTGACAAGCAGGTCAGGGATATAGACATCAGGTCTTTGACTGTGGTGTTGGTGACTTGGATGGAGGGTGGAGTCACTGGATCTGTGGATAAATGGTGGAGGGGAACAGCTGAGAGTCCCTCACCCTCAGAGATCTCAGCCAGCTCCCAGGGCACATAGAATGAAGTGGTCCTCTGCAAGATCACATGTTTGGGTTCAAGATATATTCTGTAAGGAGAAAGCTGAATCTTACTCCTACCAAGATCACCCACAGTGACACTGACTCAGGTTGTTTGTGAAGATTCCACATTGCGTGCCTCTTCAGCCCACATGTCCAGAAATCTCATGGTTGGGGGTATATATTTCCTAATGATTTTTGTTGGAATTCTTGCTCACACTTTTGGTAAGTGTGAACAGTCAGGTCCCTCTTTTATCAAATAGCCTTCTGTTTTTTTTTTATTAAATAATTTGTCATGGGGTTAAGATGGCCCACATAATCTTAAAGGTGTTAAAGGCTAGACCTCAGGACTGGGAGAAATCCCTGACTGAAGAATTTCTGTTTGTAGAAAAAATGTATTTCCTGCCCCATGGATATGGATTAAATACTACAGAGAAGAAGTGAATAATCACAGTGCTGACCAAAGCCTGCCACTCTAATCCTCAGTACTGATTTTTTTGAGACAGGGTCTCAATGTACAGTCCTAGCTTGCTTGGAACTTGCTATGTAGACCAGGCTGGCCTCAAACTCACACTATCTACCCTCCTCTCCATCCTCAGTGCTGGAATAAAAAATGTGTGCCACCACACTCAGCTGACATTTGTTTTTTGGACCATGCAAAGAGTAAGCAAAAGAACATCATCAACTGTCAGTGACATGGTTCACCCTGACTCAGAACAGGGCTCTCAGGCACCTTCTCCACCCACTCTTCTCATCCCACGGAGTCAGAACTGAGCCAGCTACCATGAGACGAGTAGACCTGTGAGCAGAGGAATAATTCTGTGGGGAATTTCTCCTCCAATTTGGAGAAAAAGAATGTGAGCTCAGTTGAAAGCCCTGTGTTTTCCTTGTAGGTCATGGAGGTCATAAAATAAAAATGGAGGGGACAGGGAAGCTTGTGTTAGGCACAGAAAGAAACCTTGACCATGAGGCTCTCCTAACCATGGAAAGTCCCTCATACAACCAAAGGATTTCCAAGACTGGGAGAACCTCCTCCTCACATTGCAAGCTCCATCCCTATCAGCCAGAAACCAGAGAACCAGGAGGCCATTAGACATAGGGATGGAGCAGGAAGCTTGAGGGAAGACTGAGTTTTGCTTGTTCCCATAGACATGCACTGGAAATTAAATGCTTCTGCATCTTCCCAGAAAGCCAAAGGACTCCACTCCAAACCTGGTGATGATATTTCTGAGACCCACTTACTAAGGACTGTAATGTTCTTGACTGTGGTCTTATTGAGGACAGTGACAGTTATAGACTAGGCAGGTATAAGATCTGCTATTATTAGTATTGATGTAGGGAATAAAGTGCTCTTGGGAGGATGACTGGAGCTCTCCATTGACAAACAAGGAGTATTGTGCAGGTGGGTTAACATCTGTGTGGCAGGAGAGGCTGAGGTTTTCTTTGAATGGAAATTAATATTTGAGATGTATATGATTGGAATAAATGGACCACTGGAGAAAACATATTAAAACACATGTGATGTCAACAGAGGTAAGGGGAAATCCTGGTTTGTAGAAAGACATAGTATCTCTTTCACCTGTGCTTAAACCTTAGTTGAGCAGGTCCTACCCAGAGCTTAGGTCAGACTAGTAGAAGAGTTTTCATGCAGCATGCACAAGCCCTGATCTATCTCAAGCACAACACACAACATCCCCTCTGCACACTCATGTGTGCACTGAGCCTGAGTCTGACATGTCCCCTGTTTACATCACCCTCAACCTCTCTAGGCAGTAAAATTCCCTGCAGCCCATTCAAGCTCTATGCTGGGCCTGTCTACATGTGCTTGGGCTGGGCCAGGATGCCCTGACAGCCTAGGTATCTGTATGGTAGGTCTATGTTATGAACACAACGGGACTGGGACTGAGTGTGGTAGATCTTGCCCTCTGTATTTAGGCAGTTGCGGCCAGGATGAAACAGAAAATACTTACAGGTAATGTTCAGAGTGAATGGGTTACATGGGAGTCCCTCACTGGCTTCCAGGTTCACATTCATAGGGTCCTGTGTCAGTCCTCA